AACTTCAGTTCTCAAGGAACAATGCAAAATGATATTACTATTTATCTTTTGAAGTACATGGTCTCTGCTCCAAAACAAAATACTGCATTTGACAACAAATATTCATTGAGCACCTACTGCATGCCAAGCACCGTGTAAGGGTCTGGAGCTTAGACTATGGACTTTTCTGCATACCGGATGTGCATCTAATCTACAGTACTTAGCACAGCAACTGGCACTTAAGTGACAGCTATTATTAAAACTTAGAGTGCCCCGAGCATGGCTGTGATGAAAAACACTACCCAACGATTTTTTTAAAGTCATTAAATACCCTAACTTTGTTTGCCTTAGCTACATAGCTGCCACAACCCATTAGGGTTTAGAACCTACAGCACTGGAGTAAATCAGGTTTCAGTGTTCCTCTCAGGGGAGCAGGGAATGGGGGAAGGGGAGGGCTGGAGAGCAGAGGAAACGGAATTCCCTACCTTCGAATCACTGGGGAGGGAACTAGAGGAATTCTACAGTACACTGTTTTTTCTTCTAAGTATTGCTATGAGGTCAGCAGTAAGTGGAAGCATCTCCATATTTCAATAGATGCTAAGATGCACATTTTTTCACATTCTAACATCTCTGAAAGCAAGATGTGTTTTCCAAATAGCAATTTAATAAAAGTATTCTAGTTTAATGAGAAGTCCTCTTTCTTTTTAATGATACATAAATCATTCAATGTCTTACAACAGGTAGTGCTTTAGATTTAATGAAATGCAATAGATTTCATCTGTCTGCCCCCTCCCAGTTTATGATTAGAAGAAAGGGGTTTCTTGATACCGTGGAATAAGGTCAGCTGTGCAGCCATGGACACAAATGAGCACCTTGCCATTAGAAATGCCTGTATCGGCACTGTCACACCCTTGTGACTCGACAGCCTGATGTTTATGCACAGTGCGGGCACTTCTGGTTTCTCAGGAAATGTCAAACTGATACAGGTCGTGGCTTCAGGGTGGGTGTGTCAAGGTCCTGAGCTGCCACCCTGACGTCCCACTGAACACTAAGCCTGCCTTGACACTGCAAGTTCGCCGCTTGGACTCACCCCTCCTCCCTCTACACCTGCTAACATCCTCAGGGCCACATGAAAGAAGATGCCCTACAAGATCGCCTCTTCCTATCCTACCTCCATTTCTTGCCTGTCTTGAATATCTCTTGCTTTTAGTGAGACCTGGATTCCTCCCAGGCCAATATTCCTTTATTATTGATGAAACATAACATAAAAATAATTTAGGTAATGGCTTGTAGAGAAAACAGGCAACCTAGCTTCTTGAGACTACAACTCGTGACCCCAATAGGCAAAGTCTGAGTTGGATGGAGCCTGCCAGATTGGATCATTCTAACCTCAGAAGAGAAGTGCCTTATTTTCTCTAAAGCTTCAATTATTTCCCAACTCTTGAAGATATATGGCCCTACAATATATTTCCTTTTGCTTCCACATATTTACTCTTTCCCTCTCTTTTGCCTCCTACCCACCCATCTATCTTCAAATAAGGACTGACACCCTGATTTACAAAGTAAGCACATAAGGCTCCCGGCCAAGATGGCGAAGTAGATAAACACTGTGCTCACCTCCCCCTATGACTACATCACAATTACTACCAGATTATGGAACAATCACCCTTAAAAACCATAGAAAGACGAGCCAAACAGAACTCCTATAACTAAGGATATGAAGAAGCCGCATCGAGACTGGTAGGAGGGGTAGAGACACAAATGAACTGGCCCTACACTCACAAGTGGCTGTTGAGAATTGGGAGGGATATCTTGGCTGTGCAAGTCCCCACTGAAGAAATAGGTCCCAGGCCCATACTGGGCTGAGGCATCAGTGGCTATGAAAATCAGCAGGGACTTAGTCCTGGTGAGATGAAGGGCTGCTGTATACCCATCCTCCTAAAGGTCCTGAGCACAGACTCACTCACTCACAAACACTTGCCCTAAGCTCCAGTGAAGGGACAGCAGATTGCAGGCACAGGCAGGCACCCAGCCTGAGTCTCTTAGCCTGATAACACCACTCTCACCCCACCCTGGTGATTCCCTGCCCCCCGCAATCCATGTGGAGCCTCTTTCAGAGGCTAACCTACACAAGAAGTCAGCCTGGGCCAGTGCTTTGAGCTTTCCTGAAATCTCTCCAAGGCTCACAAAGCCAAAACAAGCAGCAACTGGCTGTAACTCCTGCTAAGTGGCCCCCAGTCCAGCCTGGGGAAGCAGCCTCAGTTCACAGCATAACCACTCCTAGATGCCTCCAAGCCCAGCACAGGCAGCTCCCAACCAAAGATCACTTTGTAGCTCCTACCATAACTAATGCCCCGGCCAGACACAGGCAGTGGTGACCTTGGCCTGCACCAGAAACCTCCCCCCAAGAGGTCCCAGAATGAACACACCCAGTGGCCAGCTCCAGACCACACCAGGAACACCACCTGATTAGTGCCACAAATGACACACCCAAAGGGCGAACTCAGCAAGCACCTGAGGCCTGCTAAAACAAATAGTGTTCTGTGGGGTGATCCCTTACAGAACAGTTTGTCTGCTAAAGTCACAGCCAGTCCTCACAGCCAGTCAGCTTGAGGGTCAAGCCCACCACTGAGGTGCCAACAGAATATAAAAGCTCAATGACAGCAGGAGGACACACACAAACCACACAAGGGACACCTCTGGAACACCCAGCTCAGGTGAACAGGAAGATTGGGCCACTGGGCTCCACCGGACACCTACTATATGAGGCTATTCTGACAAGACCGACAGCTGATCTACGTAATACATAAAAACAAATAGAGAGGCAGCCAAAATGAGGAAACAAAGAAACACCCCAAGTGAAAGAACAGAACAAAACTCGGAAAGAAGTATGTAAAATGGAGGAAAGCAGTTTATCAGATGCAGAATTCAAAAAGTTGGTTATAAGGATGCTCAATTAAGTTAGGGAGAAAATAGACTATCTACATGAGAATTTCAACAAAGAGAGGAAACATTAAAAAGAAGATAGAGCCCAGCCGGTGTCAACCTATGAGCCAGGAGAGCACAGTTAGATTCCCGGCCAGGGCATATGCCCAGGTTGCGGGCTCAATCCCCAGTGTGGGGCATGTAGGAGGCAGCCAATCAATGATTCTCTCTCATTGATGTTTCTATCTCTCTCTCCCTCTCCCTTCCTCTCTGAAAACAATAAAAATATTTTTTAAAAGGAGATAGAAAACATTAAAAAAAAAAGTCAGAAATGAAGACTACAATAACGGAAATGAACAATACATTAGATGAAATCAATAGCAGACTACAGGAAGCAGAGGCTCGCATCAGTGATTTGGAAGACAAGGTAGAGAAAAACACCCAATTGGAACAGCAAAAGGAAAAAAGAATTTTAAAAACTGAGGATAGTTTAAGGGACCTCAGGGACAATGTCAAGCATAATAACATTCGCATCATACAGGTACCTCAAGCAGAAGAGCAAGGTGAAAAAGGAGGAGGAAGAGGAAGAAGAGGAGGAGGAGGAGGAGGAGAAAGAGAAGAAGAAAGGAGAGATAAAAATATGACTAAGAAAATATCCAAAGAAAAAAATTCTTATTGACAAAGGCAAATACATAATAAAAGCAGTGGATCAACCAACACTAAACTTAGTACAAAGGGTAAAAGGCAAAAGTAGGATCATCATGTGTAATTACAACAGCAAATTAAGGGATACACACAAACACACAAAAGAAGTAAAGAAACAATGACAAAAACATAAAGATGGAGAGGGAGAGTTAAGGGACCATCAACTTAAAACAGACTGTTATAAACATAGCTTGGTATATATGAAGCCCATAGTAACCACAGACCAAAACTATATAAGACATATACAAGAAATAAAATGAAAGGAATCCAAACACAACACAGCACAATAGAGAGTCAACAACATACAAGAGAGCAAGAAAATAAGACAGGAACAGAGAACTACAAAAATAATAGAAAATAATTAATAAAATGGCAATAACTACATACCTATCAATAATTACTTTAAATTTAAATGGATCAAGAGCTCCAGTCAAGACAAATGGACATATATACAATGGAATATTACTTGGCCATAAAAAAGAATGAAGTGTTACAATTTTAACAACATGGATGGACCTAGAGCAGTGATGGCGAACCTTTTGAGCTCGGCGTGCCAGCATTTTGAAAAACCCTAACTTAACTCTGGTGCCATGTCACATATAGAAATTTTTTGATATTTGCAACCATAGTAAAACAAAGACTTATATTTTTTTAATTTATTTTATATATTTAAATGCCATTTAACAGAGAAAAATCAACCAAAAAAATAAGTTTGCGTGTCACCTCTGACACGCGTGTCATAGGTTCGCCATCACTGACCTAGAGGGTACTATGCTAAGTGAAATAAGTCAGAGAAAGACAAATACCATATGATTTCACTTACACATGGAATCTAAAGAATAATATAAATGAGCAAACAAACCAGAAACAGATTCATAGATACAGAGAACATTTTGATGGTTGCCAGATGGTAGGAGGTTGGGGGGCTGTGTGAAAAAGGTAAAGGGATTAAGAAGTACAAACTGGCAGTTACAAAACAGTTATGAGGCTATAAAGTACAGCCTAGGAAATACAGCTGATAATATTGTAATAACTATACATGGTGTTGGGTACTGGGGGAATCACTTTGTAAGTTATATAAATGTCTAACCACTATGCTATACAGCTGAAACTAGTACAATATTGAATGTCAACTGTAATTGAAAAACAACAAAAACATTTAATTAAAAAAGAGTAAACACATGAAAACTTTGTTCAACTCTGTGTCCCCCTCAGCTATCGTTAAATCTCTTTGATTCTTTTTGTGAAAAGGTCTTAAAAGATTGGTCTTCAGGCCCTCCCTCTATGACCTCAACCCCCATCCTTTGCAATTAATTCTGTATCATCACTATTTCAGTAATATTGTCTTTTTAGTCAATTAATAACCTCCTCAACAAATCCAATGGTGTTACCTTTGATTTTTCCATGGCATTTGAAAGTGTTGGCCATTCTCTCTTACTTTCAGTTCTGTTTTTCTCCTGACACCCTCAAATAATATTGCTCTCTTACCGGCCTCCCTCCTCCACCTGCCCCCAAGCAGTAGGTAACTCCTAGGCTCAGTTCTTAGACCCACACTCTCTCCCTAGTCGTTCCTCTCCTTGGAGAAGTCATCTATTCACAGTTTCAGTGACTACTTTTAAGAGGATGACTCACCATGTGCAGGTCCAGCTCTGACTTATTCCCCAGGCTCCCTCCTGGTTTCTAAGATTTCAATACTTTAGTTCTTCACCCAACTGTGTTCTTCTTTGTCATCACAACTCTGTATCTTTGCTTAAATAGTTTCCCTAACCAGGAATGGTCTCCCTGTTTCTCTCTGCCTATTTCAACCCCCATTACTTCTTTAAGCTTTAGCTCAAGTTCAAACATCTTCCTAAAGTCTTTTCCAATAACTCAGTTTGTAAAACTGAGCTCTGCCCCCTTCTAATTGCCCATAGCAGTTACTGTCTATGTTATATACTTGTGTACTTTATCTAATTATTCATATTTTTCCCTTTTGTCTCTTTAATTATCTGTAAATGCCTATGTGTATGTGTATGTGTATGTGTGGAGCGGGGAGGGAGTTAGGTATCCTTTTTAGGTTATCCCCAGTGCTTGGTACAGTGCTAAGTATAATAACAAGTTAATGAATGCTTATTGAACTGAATTCAGAGGGGATGTGGGATCAATGTGCAGGTCTGATGGTGGTGGTGATGATGATGATGATGATTGCTAGTTCATGTTTATTTAGCATGTACTATGTGCAAGATTTTATTGCACTACTATTCCAATTACTTGTTTTTCTATAAACTCACTTAAGTTTCATAATACTATCATGTAGGTATATTATCTGGTTTTATTGATGAGGAAACTGCAGCACAGGAAGATGAAATAATTTAAACAGGTGTAGGATGGTCCTAAACACCTAAGACATTTAGTGTCCCAAGTCTTTGCCTTCTAAACATGAGTAGTCCCCTGCACCCTGCCATTGTGAAAACCAAAAGATACCTTCACCCACTTCAAAATGCCAGGGCTGGTCTGGGCTAGACAAATGCCAGCCCCCTCCCCTCCCCCCTCCCCCCCGCAAACACACACACACACACACACACACACACACACACACACACACACACACAGGAGCCTACTACATACCAACTGGCACCATCAGTAGTCCCTGTAGCTATGATTTAAACTAGATGACCCCATCCCAGACTTCACGACTGCCGTTGGACCAGGCATGTGTACCTAATCAATGAGTGGTTAATTATTATGGTGAAGCCTAACTAAGAAATTCAAGCTGAGTCAATTACACTTGCTCTCCTGGGAATTTGAATAAAGAACTATCAAGCAGATCAGATAGGAAGAGAAGCAGAAACTGCAAGAATGCCCCAACAGAGTATTGGGACAACTATGGTTATGTGTAATCTAAAGTGAAATGGGAGTGGAAAATATGAGACTACGGGGAAAGGGAACTCAGCAGAAAGCAGTCACAGCTGGAGGCCAGAGAAGCCTGGCAGATGTTCACAACTGTCTGGGGCTGGGAAGACAGAGTTTGAAATTCGAGTTCCCCAAGTTAGGAGGTTCAGTAAACACTTCAAATTTTCCACCAAGACCTCAGAAGAGCTGCACCATTGAGTACGCATCACTGCCCAGGGCCAGGGGTCACACCCTAGGACTAAGGACAAAACCCTAACAGACATGCACTAACAGTGTCAAAATGGAGGCCTCCAGGGAAGAATGAACTGAACTGACAGGACAGGTGAAGGAAAAGACAAATCCTGGTAGAACAGACCTGGTCTCTAGCCCGGAGGCAGGCTGGGGTCAGCCACAAAACAGCTCTTTGTTTCTCAGGTGGAGTAAGGGGGAGAGTGAGAGAGGAGGAAGGGACAGGGCATTCCACTTGGGTAATTATACCTGCAAACAGGGTTGGAGGGCAGCTGCCCAGTGGGGGCTCACTGAGGCACTTGGGAGGGGACCATGCAAGGACAGGGGCAACTTGTAAGTGGAAAGGAAAAGACAAAAGGTGGGTCATGAAAGACAAAGAAGTCATAATTTATGAGTACCTGCTATGTTCCAGACTATGATTAAGAGTTTTATTCAGATGATCTCATCATGAGACAGTATTATTTCTTTATTTTACAAATAAAGAATCCAAAACTCAGAGAGGTTCAGTAGTCCCCATCTAAAGTTACACTATTAGTAAATGGTAGAGCTAGGATTTGAACACCAGGTAGGCAACAGACTCCAACACTGGCTTCCTCTCCGTAATGATGTGTTGTGACTGTGTAAGGTCAGGCAGGGCAGTGGCGCATGTGCTGTAAGACCACTAGCAGAGAATGATAGAGAGCACACAGATTCTGGTAAAAAACAAGAGTTTGTTACAGGTTAAAGAAGATAAAGGTATAAAAAGGAGTGTGGCCCTAGCTGGTTTGACTCAGTGGATAGAGAGTCGGCCTGCGGAATGAAGGGTCCCAGGTTCGATTCCAGTCAAGGGCAAATGCCTGGGTTGCAGGCTCAATCCCCAATAGGGGGTGTGCAGGAGGCAGCTGATCAATGATTCTCTCTCATCATTGATGTTTCTATTTCTCCCTCTCCCTTCCTCTCTGAAATCAATATAGTTAAATATTGTGTCAAGTGAGCTAAATATGAACATATATCAAAAGTTAAGTCCTCAAATACAAAGAGAGACAATTGCAAAAATAGAAATGATCGAGGTGGAACTGAGCTAGTTTCGGAGAGATCATAGGCCACTTTGCAACACTCGAGAGGAGGGCTTGACTCCGAAGTCAAACAATAAACACACTTTGATTACAGTTAGGAGGCTTAATACAATAAGGAACTAAAGATAGGAAACAAAGTTCATCTAAGAAACAGCTGTGGAGGAAGGGAATAGGAAAGACACAGAAACCAACACCAGGAATCATAGAATCAGACTTTCCTTTGAGCTGGAAGTAATTTGAAAGTCTTCCAATCCCTATCATTTCAGAGCAAAAATGCACCTAAAAAAAATGGCTAAATACCTGGCCTCCCAACTAAAGCCAGGTTTGGTTTCACTTTTATCTGTATAAATAAAGACAGAGAGCCTGCTTTGTCCACAATGGTGCCCTGGAAATTCAAGTTAAGTCAAGACTATGTTAGGAGACCATGGGATAAACCACTGGCCGTTCCAGGGACCTAGCTTTTCAGTCTTCGATGGACCCTACCACCAGTCTAACCAGCGAGCCTATTCTGCAGGAAACTTAGAAGAGAAACTTTCCACTGAGGAGAAAGGTATGAGATGGATTTCTCAGATGGTTCACAGTTTCTGATTCTAACCCTTATCCCCTGGTCATTACCAGGACTACCCCAAATTGGCCAGAAAGTCTGCTTAGCATGAGGGTAACATACATCATCAAAGTAAAGGTCTATCAGGGAGTCCAGTAATTGCAAAACCAACAACAGCAAAAATAAATAAATAAAAATTAACATAGTTCATTTCCAAGAACTGGAAGAAAGAAGACAAACTGGCAAGAAAGAAATAACCTCTACATAGTAAGACTCTTAATGTCCCCATTTTACAGATACCTTCGTTTAAGGCTCAGGGAGATGAAATAATTTGAATACCTAACTTGTACAAAGCAAAGAAGAATATAAACAATCTTCTGAATTCCACAGGAGTTTTAGTGCTCATCATTCACTTAAGATTCCTGAATGTCAAGGAACGAATAATCTATAAAACAAAGTTGTCTTCTTTCCCACCAATGTCTAAAGAAGTGCAGAGATTCAGAGAAAGAACATGTCAGAAAAGTAAATTTGTGCTTGGTGCCTATTAATGCATTTGCCATCCCCATGAGACAAAAATCGTAAAGTAAGGATGGAAAGATATTTGGGATTAGAGATGAACTGACAAAACCAAGTAGAGTAAAGGAAAGTTCCTATGAGAGCACTGTCTGATTTAAAGCCATGTTACATGTCTATAGCACTACATAAATTCTTGCTCTAAAGGGGAGGGTGGGGGTAAGGGGGAGAGACCAACCAAAAAACTTGTATGCATGCATATAAGCCTAACCAATGGACACAGACACCAGAGGGTGAGGGCATGAGTGGGGGGTGGGGGGGAGGGCAATGGGGGGATAAGGACACATATGCAATACCTTAATCAATAGAGAAAAAAAAATTTTTAAAAAAGTGCCTCCCAAAGGAATTAAATCTCTAAGGTTGCTCCCACTCAAGATACACTTAAGAACTCTGGAAGCCCAGGTTCCTTAAGCACACAAGTGTCCTTGTTATAACCACCCCTTTTCATCTATTTTCATGCTTTATATACTTCTAAGAAGACTGCGTTCTTACCTTGGGTTCTCTTCCTGTTTTGCACAAATTCTGAGCGTCTCAGGGTGCTGGGTGCTGTGCGACGGAAGCAACTATTCCTTTTCCAAGTTTCTGGGCCATTTAAATTTCTCTCTTCCTCTAAGTGCTGGGTATTATTCTCTAATGGGGAGCCCTGAGGAATGCCACAGTGATGTTCTCCTTGGCTTCCCCTAGTCTGTGGATTCCACAGCATATCCGGGGCGATCCTTCTGCTCACAGATGCCATCATTCCCGGTCTGTCAATGCCATTATACTCCAAATTCTTCATCTGATGCAGGGGCTCTGTTCCCCTGTAATTCCCAAGTTCATACTCACAGTTTTCAAATAAAGAATCATCGACTTTATTTTCTGTCTCAGAATTACTCTGATCCAGGGCATGAGTCTTTGCTTTGGGGTAGATTTTATCATTTTGATAAACATTCCTGTCCCCTTCATAGTATTTGACAAATTCCTTACCTTCATTGACACCATTCAAATCCACAGACTGAGCATTAGTATAATTCCCAGCAACATGATATAAATCGTTGAGGTCACTGTAATAAATATCAGTTTCTTTACAATCCTCAAGATTATAATTAAAATTCCTGTGGTCCTTATACCAGTTTTGAGATTGACCAAAATCCCCCAAAGAGTCCTCCAAACCCCTGTAGCCA